TGAACCAGTGGATGGAAGACCTCTCTCTCTCTCTTTGCCTCTCTGTCACTCTGCCTTTCAAATAAATAAATAAATCTTTAAAAAAAAATGAAGCAAAGATTTACTAAATAATGAAGAAATCCCAGAAAGAAGGAAAACACAAACAGATTTTTAAGTTCCGTAGATCACAAAGCACCATAAGCAAAAGTTTAAGCCACTTGAGAACCAGGGACACGTATTAGCAACATTCAGGAAAACACATTAACACCACTGGCATTTCTCCATTCAGTGACTATTTATTGAGTGTTTACAAAGGTTGAGGCACTGTAATAAGTGCCAGGGATTCAAAACTAAATTAAATATGTTTAAAGCGAAACCAAATATGTTTACACTTTCATAGGAAAATTATAGAACCCAAAAGAAAAATAGGTGAAGATAGAAGCAGTTTCCAAAAGAAAAGATAGAAATGGTCAACAAGCATATTAAAAAAAAAAACTCTCTTACAATCGTGGCCATACAAATTGATGCTTCCATGAGAAGTATTCTGTCATTCTAAAATGGCTTTAAAAATTGAGAGAAGTTCAACTGAATTTTGACCCATTGAATGGTAAATAAATTAAAACATTTTAGAGACGATGTGTAATGATTTTAAATAATTATTAGCTCTAAGACTTTATCCTAAACATGGGGTCAGAGATGCAGGTAAGCTTTATCAGCAAGGATATCTTTCATGGTATATTCTCTCTCTCTCTCTCTCTCTCTCTCTCTCTCTCTCTCCCCTCTCTCATTCACACACACACACACACACACACACAGACTCAGGTGAAGTGTTCAACATTCAAGTAACAGTTTGAAAAAAAAATTTTTTTAATTTTGTTTCTTTGAGACACAAACAAGGGAAAAGGAGGGCTCACGTCCATGCATTGTTCATTCCGCAAACGCCTGGAGCCAGGAGTGCAAGGCAAGTCTCTCTCCCGGGTGGCAGGAACCCAATCACTTGAGCTATTACTCCCAGAGTGCACGTTGGCAGGACTCCAGGATCAGGAACTGGAGCCCGGAATCAAACTCAGGGACTCCGACGTGGGAAATGGGTGTCTTATCCACGAGGCTCAACACCTACTCTCGGATGATAGTTAAATGAACTAAGGTCCGCTTGTGCAACAGACTATTAGGTGGACGTGAGAAGCCTTGTTCTTTCAAGAATGTGAAACGCCGTATTACCAGGTGAAAGAAGGAAATGTGCTCCTAAGCCCCCAGCGTCCACCCTGCGCATGTGCAGAGAGGCCTGGACAGACGTGAACTTGTCTGGAAGGATGCTCACTTGGGGGAGGGGCTTCCTATTCCTGTTTTCGATTTGTAATGATTAACATTTGGTTTTTAAATGTTTGCCGTGGGGGCGGGAGTTGGACAATAGCACCAAAACTCAGGCAGAAGGGTCAGTTCCAGACGGCCAGCTCCGTGGGAGGCTGCAGTCCACCATAACCAATCTACAGCTTATGAATAACGGAAGCGCTTGAAGCTTCCAAACAATGAAATTAGAAGACAGACACGTTACTCACCCTGACTGGATCAGCACGTGCTGTGTACCTGTGTTAAAATATCACGGGGTGGGGGGGGATGGTGCTGTGGTGTAGATGGTAAAGCCGCCACCTGCAGTGCCGGCATCCCATATGGGCACCAGTTCATGTCCCGGCTGCTCCACTTCTGATCCAGCTCTCTGCTGTGGCCTGGGAAAGCAGTGGAAGATGGCCCAAGTGCTTGGGCCCTGCACCCGCGTAGGAGACCCAGAAGAAGCTCCTTGTTCCTAGTTTCAGATCAGCCTAGCTTCGGTCTTTGCAGCCATTTGGGGAGTGAACCAGTGGATGGAAGACCTCTCTCTCTCTCTCTGCCTTTGCCTCTCTGTAATTCTGCCTTTCAAATAAATAAGTAAATCCTTAAAAAATCACCCAGTACCCCACAAATATGTACGATTATTACATGTGACTCAAAAACGATTTGCTCTGAGGAAATACTGCTTTTACAAATGCAGGCTACTTCAAAAAGTTCGTGGAGAACACATGTTATGATAAAAACATGCATGGATTTAAAATTTCTTGCATTAAAATAAATCTATCATTTAATTCCATTGCCACACACTTTTGTGAAGTTCCCTTATTAGGTGATACTGTAGGAAGTCAACATAAGATTAAAAAAAAGTACAGTTAATACCAATGAGCACACACGGGGGAAAGTAGCATTGTGGTGATTAGGACTTTAAACGGTATCTTCCTCCTTTGCTTGGTCTAAGCTCTCTTCTGCAAACAATGCAGCTGTTATAGCTGGAAAGCAAAGCACCCCTATTATTATAAATGCCTAAAATATTGAGGTGACCCTGCTCTTCCCATGCTGAGGGTAGCCCCAAACCCACTAAACAGGGGTTGCATTTATTTGAAAACATTTTATTGGTTATGCTTCTAAATACTAGGCTCAATATATTTTCTTCAACCTGTTTCACGTGAATTGCCTTTAAATACCAAGCAAGTGGCCCAGTTGTTAACAATCACGATTTAATTTTTGTTTCCAGGCCTTCTGGATACTCCGTAATTGCACTGGAAGTCAAAGACAAACATTAGGCAGAATCTTTGAAAATGCAATGTCCCATTTGTGTAAATGTGGTCCAACCACGTTGGAAACTGGTTTGACAGTTTTCTTATGTAATTAAACCTACACCTACCCACACCGCTATCAATCCACTCCTGGGTTTTTGCCTCAGAGAAATGAAAGCAAGTCCCTACGTGGCTTGAACCTGGATGATCCTGACAGCATTTTTCAAAACAGCCTCAAATTGGAAACCACCCAAATGTTCAGTAATGGGAAAAGGACAAGGTCACACACACACACACACACATCTTCAAGTTCACAGAAAGTGTGTATTATGAAAAAAACTTTGTATGGATTTCAAACACATTTTGCACCAAAATAAAATTATTTTGGAGATTTATTTATTCGAAAGGCAAAATGACAGAGAGAAAGAAAGAGAGCTTCCATCTGCTGATTCACTCTCTAAATGGCCTCAATGGCCAGGGCTGGGCCAGGCTAAAGCCTGGAGCCAGGAACTCCATCTGGGTTTCCCACATGGGATGTAACGGGGACTTGAGCCAGCACTCCAGTATGGGATGCCAGCACTGCAGGTGGCGGCATAACCCACTTTGCCACAATGCTGGCCTCTAAATTTATCTTTTAATCCTATTTTTCCATGAACTTTTGGGAAGAATCCTCATACACACACACACACACACACACACGTAACTGAAGGTACCAGAGAAGTGACTGTTTGTGTATGTGTGTGTGTGTGTATGTTATTACAGATTTAGCAAATCCTGAACACAACAAAACTAAGCTACAGGGGAAAAGCTGATGGCCGGTTGTAGGGTTGGGGGCGTGAAGAACTGTGGGGTGAAGGAGGTGTTCCAGAACTTGACTGTGGTGGTTGCACAGGTACATTTATTTGTCCACTTGAAATGAATGCATTTTATTGTCTATAAATTATATCTCAGGGAAGTGGATTTTTTTTAAGAGCGTTGCTCCATTTGGCGTCAACTCCTAACTAGGAATTAAGAGGCAGAGGGTGCTATGCCCTGGGAGCTGGTCCTGTGGTTACCTCCTCACTTCTCCGGTACCTTCAGCTATGTGTGTGTGTGTGTGTGTGTGTGTAAGACGCCGGGGGCAGACTACTTTACGTAAATGGGGTTTTACTATAGAAGCTGTCTTCAAGTGTGTAGTTCGCTCAGTCCTAGCTGGGGCTCCTCTCCAGGCAGTGAGCCTGCTCCCCTCCCGCTGCACAGAGCCCCCCACAGCGAGCAGCACTCACCCCCACCCCGTCCTGGGTCCTGGCAGCTGCCACTCCCAGCGTGGCTCAGAGGCGGTGGCCTGCAGGTTTCCTGCCCACCTGCCTTTCCGGTGATGAAGCTCTAGGAGCATATGCCTTGTGCTGCCAGCACCCTCCCTCCGGGGCCGGTGGGACCTGACCTCTCACACAGAATTATGCACAGGCTGCTCCCGGGGCTGGATGGGGGTCAAGGAGTCCATGCCCCTGCTGCAGCAGGGTGGGATCCCTGTGAAGCTCTGCCGCACCCTGCGGAGGGCTCCCAGCCTCAGGACTGTGTCCACCATGAGGCCACCTTTGTACCCTGCCAAAGGGATGGGACGGGCAGGGACACTGCCACTTTCCAGACGGAACTCTCCCTCTGCACTTTGGTCGGCTTCAGCGCAGCTTGATGTTGGTGTCCCACACCCAGCATGGACTCTTGGGCCTCCTGCCACTGGCTTTTAGGACCTGCAGAGGTGAAAAGTGATGTGTGCAGTACAAGGGACTTGGGATTGACCCTCTGTCAATCAGACGTTTCTTTCGCCACATCAGTCACCCGTCAGGCCACGCAGGCTCATGAGAAGTGAGAACAAGGGCCTCTGTCCAGCTCTGTGGGCCCCCGCCCCTTCCACCTTTGCAGGGCATCAGGGGTCTGGAAGGTTTCTTCCAGCCCTGGCTCCTCGTCCTCCACCGCCAACCTGGGCATACCTGAACCCAGCAAATGGATCCTCCGTAGAGAGGACTGGCTGAGGAAGGGGAGGGGGAGAGGAGGAGAGGGAGGGGGAGGGGACAGGGCGGGGAGGAGCAGCAATGGCGGCTGCTGGGCAGGCAGCTGGGGGCCTCCCTGAGCCTCTGTGATCTGTGCTGTGACTGCCCCGCTTGGCTCCCCGGGGCCTCATCCTCAGTGGTTCTGCCAGGGACAGGGGCAGACTTCGCAGGGAGGAGAGGCCAGCGCGAGGTTTTCAGTTTTCACAGAGGGGATGAGGAGTTTTAGAGGGAGGGTGGGGGAGCGGGGAGGGGCTGCAGGCCCAGTGGTGGCTGCCTCACACTCGTCCCTGGGAGGCTCCTGCCTCCCGTGGGGGCTGAGACCCAGGCCCTGACCTCCCAGATGGTGACATTCCAGAGGGGCTCTGGGCTCCCAGAGAAGACAGCTTGGTGCACAGAGCTACGCGAGCGTCCCGGAGGATCAACAACGCAAGGGTTTCAAGGTGAACACAGTGAGAGACGCGCTCAGTACTCTGAGCTGATCAGCTCCCATTGGGCTGCACACACTGCTGTACCCTGCAAATACGTATAGCTGTTAAGTGTCAATCAAAATGTTATCTCTCCTCGCTCTCTCTGCCTTTCAGATAAGCAAAAGAGAAAGAAAAAAGGGGTGGGTGCTGGGCGCAGCAGTTTAGACGCCACTTGGAACTCTGGTATCTCCTATTCGAGGACCTGGGTTCAAGTCCCAGCTCTGCCTCTGATGCCAGCTTCCTCCTAATGTGCACAGGCAGCAGGTGGTGGCCCGGTCAGTTGGGTCCCTGCCACCACATGGGAGGGATTCAGCTCCTGTAGAGCACACTGAGGGAGTGAACCAGCAGAGGAGAGATCTCTGTCTCTCTGCCTTTCGAATAAATAAATAAAATTTTATAAAAAATGTTGAAGGAGATGGAAACACTAACTCACCAGATGTGGTCCTCACACACTGTGTGCACGTACCGAATTATCACACGTTCCCCATAAACACGTACAACTAAAATTACAATTTAAAAAATTTTAGTAGAATAATTGCTCCACGAAAAAGAAGGTTGGGGGCCTGTCTTCAGACCAGGCAGCCCTGAGCTTTTCCAGACAGGACCTCAGGGGGCCTGGGTGATCCCAGGGACAGCACGAGGCGGCTAGAAGCTTGACTGGGGCTCGGTGGTGTCTCCCTGCAGGAGGCTGGCCGCTGTTTTCTTGCTAAGAGTTTTGCAGTTCTCAATGCAGAGTGTTCGACTCTCTTCACCTTTGCTGGCGGTCTTCAGACAGGGAGGGGCCCAGGGCCTCTGGCAAGGCAGATGGCTTCCAATTTTTATTTTCAACATGACATTTCAAAAATTAAAAAATCATCTATTCTAGTATACATCGTGATTTTTTTTTGGCATCTAACTTGGACAAGGCTGAAAAAAATTGAGTGACATCACCATAGAATTTCTAGTTCCATGTCCTCAGTGCTCACAGCTATAAAAATGGAAAACGTGATGCTAATTCCTGCCTCATTCTAGAAATACATAAATATCCACCTATGGATTCCGCCATGAATGGGGGGACAGTGTAAACATCTTGTTAGATACACTTACAGTACACAAGTTTTTGTGGCTGAAAATCATGTATAGGGATATTATAAATTGATTCAAAATTCATAGTGTCCATGTTATTTCACTTTGTGTACTAATCATGATTGTAACAACAGTATAATCTCTGGGCAATATTTTATCAGAGCCTGATGATCACAGGGAATGATGAAGTGTTGGGATTTTTGATTTGTGTACAGCTTTGTTTCAGAGACTTTTTTTTTTTTTTTGACAGGCAGAGTGGACAGTGAGAGAGAGACAGAGAGAAAGGTCTTCCTTTTGCCGTTGGTTCACCCTCCAATGGCCGCCACGGCTGGCGCACTGCGGCCGGCATAACGCGCTGATCTGATGGCAGGAGCCAGGTGCTTCTGGTCTCCCATGGGGTGCAGGGCCCAAGGACTAGGGCCATCCTCCACTGCACTCCCGGGCCACAGCAGAGAGCTGGCCTGGAAGAGGGGCAACCGGGACAGAATCCGGCACCCCGACCGGGACTAGAACCCGTTGTGCTGGCACCGCAAGGCAGAGGATTAGCCTATTGAGTCACGGCGCCGGCTTCAGAGACTCTTAAGATGATTTCTATAAGCCAAAGACGTAAAGGCATGAGAACGCATTAGCATAAAATTGTGTGGAAAGAGTGGACCAGGAGGTCAAGGAGACCACGGGATAGTGGGAGGGCACCTGCTGTGAAGAACGGCTCACTCGTGTGTTTCGACGACGGGTGGTGGTGATATCGATATCACTCGACTTTATTTAAAAGGATGCTGTGAGTTTTCTTTGCAAATGTCAGCATTGAAAATATGACATGAATCATATCCTGCCTCATCAAACCTTTGATGAAATATTTCAGAAAACAACTTCAAAACGTGTGAGGGCCTCTAAGGCAGCTTTTTTTTTTTTTTTTTTAGATTTATTTATTTATTTCAGAGGTAGAGTTACACACACACACACACACACACAGATCTTCCATCTGCTCATTAACTCCCTAAATGGCCACAAATGGCCAGAGTTGGGCCAATCCAAAGCCAGGAGCCAGGAGCTTCTTCCGGGTCTCCCAAGCGGGTGCAGGGGCCCATGCTCTTGGGCCACCTTCTACTGCTTCCCCAGAGAGTTGGATTGGAAGAGGAGCAGCCGGGATACAGATTGGTGCCCATATGGGATGCCAGCGCTGCAGGTTGAGGCTTAGCCCCACTATGCCACAACGCTGGCCCCTAAACCAGCTTTCTTAAAACTATTCCTCTAGACCCAGAATAAGCAAACCATGACCACCACAGCAGCCCAAAGGGACCCAGTGCTTGGTTTTGCATTGCTGGAACGATCAGTGGTTTTTACATGTATAAATGGCTGGGGAGGGGGGATAGGGAAAAAGAAGAATATTTCATGACACACACAAATTATGTGAAGTTCAAGTTTCCGCCTCCAGAGATGAAGTTTGGCTAGGACACAGTGACACTCACCTTTTGGATATAGCCAGGGGCTGTGTTTTGTGGGACAGCGGCATAGCCGAGAGCTCGGACAGCAATCCAAAGGCCAGGAGATCCTATAATAGTCACAGTTTGGCCAAGCCCAGGAAACCCTGAGAGGCTCCGCCTCTGCGCTTGACCGTGGAGAAATCTAAAAAATAACAATGCCGTTTGGACGAAGTGACCTCTGAGCTCTCTCCAAATGTTGAGTGGTCTAGGAAGCAATTCATATTCAGGTGTTCCTGGCCGCTACCTCCCAGGTACACCCGCTTTACAAGTGACCCCACGCAAAGGAGCGAGGTGCGAGGAGCAGAATCTCAGACACTCGCATGGGTTGGCGGTGGCAAATTTGGTGATGGGCTCTGCAGCAGCCGTCAGTTTCACAGTCTGCAGTGAGCAGATGAACGTCGGAGGAGTTAATCTGTCCTAAAACAGGCATCCATCAGTGGGCCCTAGAGGCCAACCCTAGAGGCTAACCATTCCAAGCACACAACATTCCCAGGCTCTGTAGTAGCCTTGGAGAAGGCCAGGCATGGAGATCACCGGAAAACCGCCCTGCTCTCCGTGCGCATGCGTCGCACCGCTGGTGCCTGCTCAGCCCCGCAGGACGGGGGCGGCGTTCACGCCCCTGGTCTTAGCCTGGGAAATGCTCGCTTCTCAGGCAGGGCTTGCAAGGTGCGGTGGGAGGTGTCACGTGAGTGCCAGGCAGACCAGCGACAGGCCACACCCTGCGTCCCTGCTGCCCTGGGCCCTCTGGGAGGAGCCCCCGCAACCTGCCACCCACTCCGCTGGGCTGTGCTGTGGGGGAGGAGGCTGGGTGTTCGTGGTCTCCTGTGCCCTCCTCCTGCTTATTCCGGGCGGGTGCTGCCCTGCTCGGCTTCTCCGTGAGCCCAGTGTGCCTGAGCTGGGTTTTGTGACGGGAGAGGCTGTGAGCAGGGGACGGTGTGGTAAGCCCAGTGCCGACAGGATCCCAAGCCCATCTCAGCCCATTGTAGCCGACTGCTGAGGCTCCAGATCTGGGGTTGCCAAGGGCTCCAATTTTCCTGTTTTGAAGCTTTTTTTTGTTTATTTGACAGAGGGACGGAAATAGAGATCTTCCAAGATGTGCTAGCTTATTCCTCAAATGCCTGCAACAGTCACAGCTGGGCCAGGCGGTGTCCAGGAGCCCAGAACTCAACCCAGATCTCCCACATGGGTGATGGGGATCCAAATATTTGAACCATCACCTGCTGCCTCCCAGGGGTTAGCAGGAAGCTGGAATTAGAAGTGGATCCAGGACCTGAACCCAGACACTCCAATACTAACAGGCATCCTACGTGGCCTCTTAACCACTGGACCAAATGCCTGCCCCCAAAGTTTCTAATTAAAAAAAAAAAAATTAAGAATCTGCAATTCTATGTGAACTCTCTGGATCAAATAATGGTGATTCGTCAAAAAAAAAAAAAAAAAAAACAACTTATCATCTTTGGTGCCCTGGCTGCCAGTCGGAGAGGGAAAAGCGTGAACTTTGGACCTGGGAGGTGGCAGTTGTGTGTCAGCCCTGGCACTGACTGTGTGGCCCATGAACTTGTCGCTGATGGCCCCTGAGCCTCGATGTCTGCAAAGTCAGGGTATGGCCGTGGACTTGTCTGGCAGTCCTGAGGCCGAGCGCCTGTCCCCACGGGAGTCCTCACAGGTGTCACCCCTTTCCTCGTTTGACAACTGGGGAGTGATTTCTGGTAAGAGACGAGCAGGTGGAGCGGTTAGCTGGTGCGCTCAGTTCCTTCCGGAAGGCGGGACGAGGCTTCCCTGGCTCCCATGCCAGCCAGTGCCCTCATTTGTCCTTGACGGTGCTGCCAGAGGCCCATCCTGCAGCCCCTCCACCCACCCGAGGAAGCTGCTCAGACCGGAGGTGCCCCACACCCCACGGAAGGAGACCCTGGGGAGGGGGTGGCTGCTGAGATGGCGCCGATAAACTTGTCGCTCGTCCTGTGAGGCTTCTCTCAGGGCTTCGTGTGGGCGTTTTCCTCGTAGAGGAAATTCAGATGTCCTTTTGTTGATGTAGGAGCGGAGTCCATTGTCTCCTCCCTCCAGTTCACACCGTGGCACTGGCCAGATCCCGGAGACCAGTGCGACGTGGTGCAGGGCAGACCTGGGACGGCAGGCGTTTGAATCATGTGTATGTCTATGAGTATAACACTAGTAGCCGGCACGGAGGGTGGCTGGAGTTAAAGCCATGGTCATGGTGCCTGCAAAGCTCCCGGCGCTGAGCAAGTGCACAGTAGGAAAAGTGGAGGCGCCGCCCAGTAGGAGCACGAGGAATGTGCATAATTGGAACCGAAACAGAAACAAGTGAAGGGACTCATGGGAGCCAACTAGCCCTCTGCCTTTGGGTAACATTGGGATTCTCACCACGCTTGAAAAGCCGGCTTGCTAATTGCCTTTCATCTTTGCATTTGGCCTAATTGTTGAGCTTTGGTGTTGAGAAGGGGCACACGTGTCTCTGGC